GGTCTCCCTGAAAACAAGACCAAGTTGCGACAACGAGGTCAACCCACTTTTATCAATCGAAAGGAGACTGTGACCACACCAGAGGCCACAACATCTTGGTCTTCATATATTCAATTCCAGGTTATACATTATGAATCATTATATTTAGAACAAAAATGCATTTCTAATAATGTCTTAGCAACTTGAAGTTAGAGTATCTTTCAGACGAAAGCTAGGCACAGCTTCGTCGGGATCGCAGGACGGTGAACCGAGGACTCATTCACGCAAATCCCAGTCCCAGCTTCAAGACAATCCTCCTTCAGCTTCCGGTGAAGCCAACTTACAAATCCCTTCCACTCGCCTCTTTGAATGAATTGAAGGTTACTCCGGCTTTGACAATATTTTCCACGAAAGCACAGAAGAAGACACGGCATAGATTCATCGAGATCGCAGAATGGTGAGCTGAGGCCTTCTTCGCAAAAACCAAGTTTCTCCACTTCAAGACAATCCTCTTTAGTGGATATTAAGCCCAAGATGTCGTGGCCTCAGTTTTGGTCACAGTCTCCTTTCACTGTATGCAAGTTGTTTGACCTCGTTTTCGCAACTTGGTCGTGTTGTCATGGTGACTCAACAGAACTCACTTCATCCGAATTCCTCTGCTATAGTAGTTATCATAATTCACAACATCAACCCTTGAACTTGATAGATTCTCGAACGTTGTTAGTGAGCTACAAGTGGTCAGAAAGACAAGTGAAGCCCGTGTCTTGACCAACTTAAGGCCTAACGATTGTGTTGACACTCCTGTTTCCGTCTAGGTGCATCTATCCGCCCTCTATTCCCGTATCTCAAGCCCTCGCAACCACAACTTCTAACTCGTTTATAATGGAAAACTCTAGAAGCGGGCTCTTCTTATGGCAGCACACCCAGGTTTCGAGAACGAAATCAATCCTCCTTCAGTTTTTGGTGAGGCCAATTCACGAATTCCTTCCGACCAACTTTTCCCTAGCGGCCAGAGATCAGTCCTGGATACGTCAACCACCAGGCCGGAAACATTTAAATGGATCTCGGTAAGCATTGTCTCTATTATATCACATACGAAGAAATGTTGGGTTTCGAGGAATCTCTAGTTTCATAATTGTTGAGCTTACTTCCATTTCGAGTGAAAGTGTTGGGTTCGAAGGTCGGTTCCACCAGAAGACGACGGCGGATTCCTCTTGACCAACTGTCAAATGGCTTTACTAGAAGATTCATGCTGACGCTGTTTCTGAGGCAATCTCTTTCGATTCCGGTGAACACGTGCTGAGCTTTCGTGCGTCATATGACGGACATCATCAGAGCGAGGTAACATCGTTCCGGTGAACACGTGCTGAGCTTTCGTCCGTCATATGACGGACATCATCAGAGCGAGGTAACATCGTCAGTGCTAAGCTTTCGTCCGTCATATGACGGACATCATCAGAGCGAGGTAACATCGTCACAACAAAATTCAAGATAACGAGTCAAGAAAACTCACCGGCAAATTCCTAAAAAGTGGTATATATACTGTACATCTGGCCTC